CATACATAGTACCTGTACAAAAGTACAGCGCAATACAAAGACATCGTACATTCGTACATAATAGCTGGCTGTTTTTCTTACATCTCCATATATATGTACATATTCTCTGGCTTTATTTAAAAAAGAAATTGATCGAATTCATGCAAGTTAATCACATTCCGTGGTATTTGGGAGAATGAGAAATTCGGCAAATAAATGAAATTAATTAAGAATGTTCTGATCGTTTTTGAAAGTTAGTGCGGCATAAACAATTCATTATTTAATGGATATGTTTTCTTGCATAAATAGGAATGCATTATATGCTTTCAAGAAGAGTTGGGCTCTTTAGTTTTTTTGAGAGGACCGTTCAGTTGTAGTTCGTTTACCTGAGGGAACTAGTTCTTTAGTTCATATATGTAATTCATTTAGTTCAATTGACGACCTATCTCGGCAGCCTGTTCAACACACCCTATCTCAGAAAACTTTTCAAGACCGCCCTATTTCAGAATTTGGTTAAAAAACGCCCTATCTCAGAAAACTTTTCAAGAACGTCCTATTTCAAAATTCGGTTCAAAAATTCCCTACCCCAGCTGCCGATTCAAAAACGTCCTATCTCAACATATTTTCAATATATTTTCAGTTTAGATAGGGCGTTTGTAAATCAAATTCTGAGATAGGGTGTTTTTCAATCAAATTCTAAACTGGGCATTGAAAAGTTCTCTGAGATAGGCGTTTTCGACGTGGCTGCCGAGAAAGGTCGATATGCTATTTTAAACAAGGTTCAATTATTTTTACTATCATACATATTACATATAAGACAAAAACTGAGTTATTAATGAAATATCGTTTAAATAAATGGTTATAAAAACGTTTATAAAAAGGTTTTCTTTGAAATCAAGTTTATATTCATAAGCTTATAAACAACTTTTTTTAACCTTAATTATAAGTTTATATTTATACGCTTATAAAAAGTATTCTTTTGAACATTTATTATAAGTTTATATTTCCATTTCGATTTATAAACAAAAAATCAACGTTTTATAAGCTTAAAAAAAGGTGATTTTGCTTGTTGGGATGTTTTCTCGTATAAATAAAATACGAACAAACGAGTACCTACATAAAACAAAAACTTTAACAAATTGTGGAATATAAACATATGTGCGATATGTACACACTTACATATTTATTGCTGTGCAAAAACCAGAGCGTCCAGATTTAGGCGATTAATACCATGTTCTGACCGACAACGAAAACATCTTGAAAACGAGTTTTGGGATTGTGGGCTGAAGGCTGTTCACACCGACTGTTGGTGTTTTCGTTGACATTTCTTTCATCCTTTGTTTACAGTTTTGCTACACAAAAACAAAACCAAAATACTTTTCCTTCAATTTCTTTTCATTAACAACCTTTTACTTCCATGCTTACTTTATTTTGGCCAGCCAATTAATAATAAATCCGAAATGACGTATTAAAAATGATAAAATATGACTTTCACTTCGATAAATAATCGAAAAAAACTAGTGCAGACACCGATTGGAATGAGTGGAACGTAAGTTTTCAAGTGGTTTTCAGCGAAAACTAGTTTTCGTTTGACAGATTTTACATGGACGAAAACACATGTTTTAGGTCGAAAACCAGTTTTACCAACGAAAACATGTTTTCAATGTCGGTCAGAACATGGTATTAGCGTCAATTTTGTGTGTTCAATTTTTTGTGCGCTATCAATTAAATGCGTCGAAACACGTGATAAGTACCCTGTAGTCAAATGAACTAGTTGTAAACTACCTCAAAACTAGTATGAACCGCATGCCCAACTAGTCAGCCAACTATCTTTTTTCCATTCAATCAAGTGGTATTTTTAACATGGGGATGTCTTACGAGATGGCAATTGTCAGATTTCAGAAAAGGTGCGTAAACTGACTGCTTGACAGATAAACTAGGATTTTGTGAAGCAATTTTTGTTTCGTAGTATTTTCCATAACATCCCGCCATCTTGTCTCTATCACTATTGGCTAAAATAAAATTAAAAATGCCGAAAATTAGCAGAAAACTCATGTTAGTACTGTTAGTGGATGAAATTCATTATTTTTATTCCCATATTATTATTTTTCATTTGTTTTCAATATTATAAAATACATTTTAGTATATAATTTTCCGCTCCTCGGCAATACTGAAGTTTACGAGGTCATTTGCGCATCAAATTTGCCTCGTAATTTTGGGAGGGGCTCGTAAATAGAACTTCATACAAATTTTGACAGTTCTTTTACGAGGCTCGTAAATTTACGAGCTTTACGAGGCTTTTACGACTTTAAGAGAAGCCCCCTACTATGTAACAAGTCTGGTATAATTGAGTACGTACTCGATTTAATCCCTGTAGGGAAACCCCGAACTGGTGAACCAAATTTGTAGTTCCGTGCTAGATCTTTATCGCCAAAAACGAACCAGTCCGATAGTAACTAGATCGCCACCAGTTCAAAAGCGGCGATATGTGGTACTTTTAAAAAACAATTTTAGAAATCTATATCTAAAATGACGAATTTAGAACTGGTTCAAAACTATAGAAAAAGGGATGCAGAACAAACTAGATCTCATCTGGCGAATTTTGAACTAGTTCGAGACTACTGAAAAAGGGATGCAGCGGGGGGCTTGTTTACTTTAAATAGATTTTTGCTTGGTGGGTTTTTCGTTCAAATACGCTTTCAGTCTGCACGTCGCAGATGCTTTTTCATAGTTTGGTAATACAAAACTAATATTTGTGTTAACATCTTAACATTATGGGACCTTCTGAAATATAACCAATAACAGTCAGCACCTCTGCAAATTCAGCTACAGCCAAAGGTATGTAAACGTGTTTTCAAATGCAAAATTAAATTTACATTCATTCAAACAAATTGGATTTCAGATTGAAAATACATTTCTCTGCAAAAAATTGAAAATTGCTACCATGGTAACCCAAAAAGAAAACATCTTGTTACTTTTTTCGTTTACAACTGGTTCGAAACTATAGAAAATGGACTAGATCCCATATGTCGAAATTAGGACTGGTTCTGAACTATGGAAAAGGTAATGCAGCGGGGGACGATTTCCAATTCCTATGACATCGCTGTGTTAAATTCGCCAGTTGTTTGTGCAAAAGAGATTTATCGCGAACTAGTAGTGGTTCTAAATGTACTAGAAGCGCCCCAGTTCAAAACTAGAGATTTTCCCCACAGGGATGGTATACAATATGCCCAAATAAAAGTTATAATATTTTGTTTACTTTATTGTATTAAACTGTCGAAGTCAAATAAAACAGGGCATGAATAAATCGAATTGTACTTGGTACAAGTCCGGTCACTTTCGAACTAGTTCGGTTTCTGTCAGGAAATTCTAGTTGTAAACTAGTATTTTTGCTGACTAGTTTGGGATTTCACTGCAGGGTAGGTTTTGGAGTTAAAGCTTTAATTTTCATGTGGCAACACTTTTTATTGTTATTGATTTTGTTGTAGCATATCGAATATTTGCCAATATTAAACCACCATTTGTGACAACTCCCGCTGAATGTGAAATTTGCAATTTCATTTGTGGAAATAGATGATCTCGCCGTATTATAGCTTTTATTTTATTTTTTAGCGCCTAGCGCTTAAAAGCGGATTTTGCTATTAAGTAATCAATTAATATGAGTTATAATAAATAAAATAATCGCGCAGTCCTATTGGGAAATGTGTAAATACAAATATTTTTGAAATTATGAATATTTTTAAAGACAAATTTTTGTGCATCCTTATCATATAAGTGATTTGTGTCATTTAACCACGTTATAACAAGATCTCATTAAAAAAAGACAGATTTGTTAGGCCGATTTCATGAATTTAAAATAAAACGGAAATAAAAAGCGTGCGAAAATACCTTTCTAATGATACTTCACAAGTCTAAGTCGGAATAGCTTTGGCCCAGTTAGTCAAGTTTTTTTTATATCAATCTTTAAAAAAAGTTAAATAACAGCATCAAAAATCTCATTTTTACGATTTTTTGTTTTTAATATTTTTATGCAGATTTTTTTGATCTTAACAGTTTTGTCATCTGAGGGGATTTTTTCAAAAAATTCTTTAAGAAACTTTTTCAATTCAAAAAATTCCAAATCGGTTCATAAATCTTAATATTTTTCCGAAATATTTTGGTGGACGTCTTCAAATATAATAGATTTTATAATTCAAAGGGAAACACAGTACCGATTTTTTTTTTGTATGAGGAGTGATGCAGTCTATTGTACATACATACGCATGTATACCTATTAAAAATCATAGAAAAAAAATTCGTCTTGGAAACGAGCTGCAGTTCTTTTGCTGGTGTTGCCAGATGGTGTTATGAACGTTTCCAGTTAATCTAGGCGCACACATTCATAGAAAAATGTTGGGACAGACGAAGTTGACTAGTGGCTGGTCGATCAGTTGTTTGCTGGACTTCAAACCTTCGACCGAATATACTATATGTCCCACTTGTCTGGTACTTGCAGCTAGTGTTGCCAGTTTAGGCTTTTGTGAAAGCAATTGGCCGCACAAAATCCATTTAGCTTCTAGCTTTTTATTAGCTTCCCATCATTTGTTTTAGCTTTGGTTTTTGTGTATGTGTATACCGATACCTGAGTGGAAGATCGACCTATCTCCGCAGGCTGTTCGAAAAGGCCCTATCTCAGAAAACTTTTCAAGAACGCCCTACTTCAGAATTTCATTGGAAAACGCCCTAAGTCAGAATTTGGTTGCAAATGCCCTATCTTAGCTGACGATTCAAAAACGCCCTATAGAACTTGGAAACATTTTATGAAGAAAAAGCAATAGAAAAGGTAAACCGTATTTTAAAGAAAGCAGTTTTTACGTTATGCTTAAGCACATTTGAAACATACCATATACTTATTTAGACTTAGTGTTGAATCTGAAATTCCCAAATTGTCTTGTGGTGAGCTTAGACATGTTTGATATGTATCGACTTACATATGCATATGTACATATGTCACAGTATGCAGTACTTAAGGACTTAAGCAATATTGATTTACACTTATGGTAGGACTAAGTCACCTCTGAGTAAATCGTTAAAATTAAATACGTTTTGTCTTATCGAAAATAATTAAGTAAATAGCTTTGGTTTTAACTGTTTATTTATTCGGTCAGTGTAAATTGTATCAAAAATCTGGAAACATTTTGTCAGGGAACTTAGGTTTCGATATGCCCGGACCAAATGCTGTATTGATTAAGTAAAAACAAGTGAAGCGTAAAAAATTTAGCGCGCAATAAAATTATATTTTAGTTTTATTTGGCCTTTTTCATCAAGTCTTTTCTCTAAAAAAGTTCTGGAAACACTGATTGCGGCAGTGGATTCGTTTTCTGAACGGAACTCGCCGTTTGCTTCGCTCTTGCTTCTTTCATTCAGTCAATTTTTGCACTGTTGCTTAGAGAATAAGTTCTATCCTTCCACAGTGGTAGCATTTGTTGGTGCTACAACACCAAGGCATCAGCAAACATTTAACATGTTGCCACGTTGACTGATGGCGGGCAACTGCTTTCCTAGTCACTACTTCGCATCGATGCAACTAAATATTGTAGATGCTTCAATTCTGCCTCAGCTGCCACAAGACGTCTTGCTGCGACTTATTTCAGTTGTTGACGATATACCGACACCACTTTTTCGGTTGCTGCTAATATTTATTGGGCTTTTTCGTAGTTCATATACAAACACGAAGATGGCGCGATGTTGTTGTTTCATGCTACCAATGTCTAGGCGTACAGAAATGCAAGTTGGTAAATATGTTGCACCAACAATGATGGAGGAACAAAAGCACCCAAAAATAATAACAAATATTATTTGTGAAGAAGAAACTGAGCAAAGGAAAGGATGTATGTACATATGTTTTCGGCGTTAACTAGCAATTACTATTACAACTGCAACGACTGCAATGCAACTCAAAAGAAAATCCATAGTGTGGTAGAGAAGTGTGGTGAGAAATAACGCACAAAAGGAAGTCACACGATTTCATGCCGCGAACCAAACCGGCTGGTGACAAACCGGCTTCTCCGGCAGCTGCACATTAGTAAGCCAGCGCAACAAACGCAACACCAGATAGTAGTGCAAGCGACAACGGCAACTAGATAATTCTAGGAGCCGGAGGAGTCAGCTCCAGAGATGTGTTGCTGCGTATCTCTCGGGTTTTGGCAGTCGATATTATCCGATACGACGAGCAGAATTGAAAAAAAATGATAAATAGAACAAAAAATGCATTTTGCCGAATGTGGGTAGCTGCTGCTGCTGCTTGCTGTTCCTTCCTGCTCTACTGGTGGTAATGTTGCGTTGCGCCCATGTTGCGGCCGCTTATATTTTCGCATCTGTGTTATCATGGCTTTTCAGTCACAACATATCATTAATGTGCAACACACACAGTAAGCGGAGTAGATGCAAGTGACACTGAACACACTGACAAAGTGCTGACAATTGGCGACATGGTTCTTAGAATGAGACAATTTTCAATTCAGATAGCTCTTTTTCCTTTTGTCTTCACAGGATAAAAGTTGGCCAGTTGTTGTCCGTCATTCGCTGCGCACCTTTCAAAATAAAGGTAAACTAAATACATAGTTTTAATTTATTCATTTGCTAACTTTGTTGTCTTTGTTCTCCGCGTGGCTATTAAACGCGAATGCATAAATATGACCTTGAGAAACAAGTACCACATAATCATTGTGGGTGTTCACACCTGTCTGGTTATCAGGTTATCTGATTATGTGGTCATGATTTTTATTCAGTTTACAACAATAAAATACACTACATAATAATAATTTTTAACCAGATGGCAAGTGTGAACACCCACAATAATTTGATAAACGTTTTTGTTGTAGAGAACTCTAAGTGGCCCATCCTTCAAGTACATAGAGCTCCATCTATGTCTTTTTTTCTATTTAAAAGGTCATGTAACTACGTACATACATATGTATGTACATACTCAGCCAGAAAAAAATCCTAGAACGGAATGAAATGTGAATGTAATTGGGATTTGTGCCCGTTTACCGATTCCATTTTCGGGTACTTCGACAATCCGTTTTCTCATCAAAGTGTGCGACAGACATTTTTCGTTTAATACGCTTTTCTTCTGCACTATACATATACCATGTTTTCGAATGTTCAGTTTGAACGAATATTTTAATTCGGATACTAAAAATGTACGAAAACCGCACTCTCGGAAAAACGTACGTGAGTAGATATTGCAACTCATTTATCGCTCCATAAAATGTATTCATATGAAAACTTTCAAATATTCACAAATGTTCGCCTCACCCTGTATAAAAGCAAAATTGCACTACTAGTTACTAGAAAATGGCCTAGCAGTATAGTCTAAAATAATTGATTATATAGCGAAAATCGCAGGTAACACAAACGACAATAACGCAAAATTTGCTTTATTTCCTTTTTAAATGGGAAATAATACCAAAATCTGAGTTTTGCTTTATTTCCAACAAAGGTTGGAAATAAAACAAATTTTGCCTTATTTCCCATTGCTTATTTATACTATTTGTAAAAAAAAAAACAGTTTACTGAAAGAAGGAAAAAGAACTTTGTTTATTCCAAAAATACAATTAAACCAAGGCACATTGAACAGGTAATATCAGTATAGCAGCTGATTTGATTTTTTTTCAAATTATTTGTTCTCGAAAATGTTAAATATTTTTAATTTCTTCTCACAAAAATTCTAAATTGTTAAAATCTATTTGCATGTGAAACATTTTCCATACAAAACCAGCGATTAAAAGCAGCTTCCCAGCAAACATTTGGAGTCATAAATGAGTCTTTAAGGAGTCCTATTTCGGAGCTATTACGCTCATAATGAGCTCATTTAAGAGTCCGATATGAGTGTGTTTCCCTTCCTACGAATGTCGACTTATATGAGCTTAAATTCATACATCAAATGAGCCTCAATATGAGTCATATTGGACTCTTATTGGCCTCATATACGGCTCATTTTGGACTCTTTTAAAACAACTTTTGGCCTCATATATGACTCTTTTTGAGACCCTTATCGGCCTCATAAATTGCTACATTCGGACTCTTATTTTAGGTTGCTCTTTGAGTCTTATTCAACTCACTATATTTGCAAAGGCATTCCGCAAAAAGTCCTTGCAAATAACATACATACATACTTACATGCATATACACATTCCAACATGCATTCAATAGCAGCAGCTTAAGCTAAATTTTGTTCATTTTTTGTTTTCTAATTATTTTCAATTTCCGTATAAACAAGTTTAGATATAAATTTCAAATCTTTATTGTTTTTATATTGGCACAAGGTGCTGGCTCATAACTTGGCTCATATATGAATCCTAAAAGATTCATATAAGAGTAAAAAATTTTTTGTTTTTGAAACTCATATTTCTTACCTACCTAGGACACCTTTCGGACTCATATATTCTGAACGCTCAGAATATGTTTGCGGGGTTTTGGAAGGCTCGCCCAATTCAGCAGCACAACCGCTGATTACTGGGCCTGGCACAGGATGGATCAATGCTTCGAGGAGCGAACCAATTTACTAAGAAAGAAAGTTGCAACAATTTTCATTTTTTCAATTTAAATTTTTTATCTTTTTCGTATTTCGCATGGCACGCTTTGATGTAGAAGAAAAAAATCAGAACAGTTTTGGCACCTTCGATACCAGAAGCACCAACAAATACAGGCAAATGTTGTTTTTTCTCAAATGCTCTAAACCTGTTTGATAGGCCTTGAATTAAACAGAAAATGTCATATAATTCATATGAAGAAAGTAATATTCACAAAATATTTTTACTTATGAAAAGTCTAACAAAATATAGCAAAAAGCATCGTTTTTAAAAACTGCTCCGCATATTGGACATAGCGCTTTTGTATGAATTTTTTCTGCATGCTTTTTAATATGTTAAAAACATTGCTGGAAAACCTTAAAATGTTTGCATGGAACCATGTCGCAATAAACAGATGAAGTAATAAAACGGCTTTCTCGCTTTATTTTCTGACATTCGGCTGCCTTATAGTCACATTTTATAGGCAAATTTTCAAATAAAGCAGTGGCACCTGGTAAATTCCACTATGGGTGGGATGCATGCAATAACACCATACACAATAATTCCCATTACTTGGACATTAAAAAGCAGTTTCAGAAGTGAACTAGTGTTATTTTATCAATTTTCCCTTTTCTAAACGGTTATAATGCCACCAGTACATAATTGCGAAAGTAGGGGAGGGGCGGGGGACGCGAGCGCCGCGACGCCGGGCACTTTCAAAATTGTATACTTACAAATCCGTCCATTTAACTTCACGGTGGGCAGGAAGCAAAGATAGGTTGCATAAAAATGTCGAAAAAAACTGAAAGCAGGGTTGTATTTGTTGATATTTTTAGGTTAAGAATCCCTTTGAATTGAAATCCTAGCTGCTCCTGTTTTAAAGATATCCACATTTTACATAGTTATGATAGGACCGACTTTTGCGAAAGAGAAAAACATCCTTGCGCATTAAATATTCAACAATGTATGTGTGAGTAAATGTGTGTATATATATTATGTGAAAATATAAGTTTATGTAAGTTTTTAGCCGGTTTCAATCGTTTCCAAGGCGCACCACGTAGAGGCAACTTACTTTGCACCTCTTTGTTCTTTTTTTGGTTTTATTTTTTTATATTTTTTTCTTGCTTTATTTTTTTATATTTGTTTTTTGTTTCCTTTTATTTTTTTTGTTGGCTAACCATATAATATAGTCACACATTTTAGTATTTAAATATTTTATTATTTAGTTAAGTTTATATATGCTGCAATGAAAATGTCATTACAGTTTTCTTCAGGCGACTCACAAAAGTTGGTTTATCAATCATATTTATTTTGAATCTATCCCAGAATTTAATGAATTCCCTATGAACTGACTTCCGGGCCTGCTCGGACCATAATCCTAAACCATCGTTATTCAAGAATGAAATAGATTGCTTTAAATGTTTAAGGATAAAATGGATTTTGACAGTTTGAGAAATTCCAGTACTTTTCAAAGCTGTGCGGAGTTCGTTAAGATTTTTATCAAAATTACTAAGATCCGCTTGTTTTGCGGAAAACCATGTATTCACGATTTTGCTCATGGCATTGAACGAGGTAATATATTTGGTATTGTTTTTACTGAGAGTTTCTTCCATACAAACTATGTTCGACATTTTTTTGTATGTGGAAGACACTGTCAGCAAAAAATAAATAATTGCAAAAAATCAACGAAATTTTCTGGTAACTTCAGACTTGCACTTTACTAATTGGCTCAAAAGCTACATTTTAAACATTTTTCTAAAAGATCTGATTAGAAATTGTGATCAGATGAAAGTGTCTCCGAGCCAATAATTTTGTACGGCACGGTACTTATAAGTAATCTAGGTTTCACGAAAAAAAAAAATAAATACAAGGTAACATTAAAATATCAGTCATTTGTTTCGTTGCTGTGAGCTTGTTTCAAAACTTCTGGCTTTTGCTATAATTGTAAAACTCTGTGCATGTCATTTTAACGTATTTAGGTACATACTTATATTAAACATCAACTATTGCTTATGCAAAACGTGCTACATTTAAAAAAAAAATCGCATATGAAAGAGCACCAACCCAACTCGTAATAATTTAAGTATACAAATTTTAGTATTTAGTATAGAAATATTCAATTGAAATACGCCAATATTAAAATGAAGCGCTTTGCACTTAACGGATGCTTTTTCATAATTAAGTTAAAAAAGAAAATTTATTTAAATTCCATGCTGTCTGTAATGGGATTTGAACCCTGACGCTCTGGAAATTAGCAAATTGTGGCAAGCATCTTCGTGCACTCAGCTACAGCCAGACATGGAAATGTGCATTCAAATGTTCAGTTTGATTCAACACCACGTGTGCGTGGTATGAAAGTATTGTTTTTAAGTACGAACATTTCAAAACGATAATCAAATAAAAAATATTCATGTTTACTATGCGTTATTTCCCCCAGTAAATTCATAAAATTTTTCTTAATATTATTACAACGCGTTTTGTCTCTCAGCGTAGTCATTTTTAAGCAAAATTTGTGCAATCAAAT